AAACAGGATAAACTATCTACTTATGAAAAATATACCTCTCGCTTCAAATAACAATCAAGTGACCCTCAATGTTATTACTATGATTATTATTATTATTACTATTATTATTATTATTATTTACTACGTCATTATTCACCCTCTTTTATTCCTACTCTGTCTATACTTATTTTTTTCGACTTATACAGCAGCTCGCCCATGGTGGAAATTCGACTGAATCTAAACGTTTTCGAGTCACTGACGGGTTGAAAATTGTATGCTACCACCGAATATGAGTACTGAAGCAGTTTTTATGAAACCACGTGCACCATTCAAACTGGCTGCCTTCAACGTTCGCACACTTATGCAGGTTGGACAACAGATAGGGCTGGCTATTGTCCAATATGTCTTAGCAACGCACTCCTGAATGGCTGATATGTTAGCTCTCCATACATTTGGGTGAGGCTTAACCTGATCGTATATCATGTCACTAGCTCTAAACGTGAATGACGAAACAGCGTGATCGCTATTCACTAACTGTGGAAGAATACTTAGGTTGGCAATATCCTCAGTCTCATAAGTGATTACCAAGTTCAACAAAGAAGAACCCTGGTTTGCACCAAAACGTGTGGGTTCAGATACATGCTGTACTAATGCATGCTCACTTACCGTTATCGGAAACCTACTACCAAAGGAGTTTATAGATCCTAGCGTGGGATTCGCAAGCAAAGATGCGGATGCTTATGTTAATGTCTATGTATAAAAGTACGCCACCTCCTTTCTTACATCTATATCCATCACTTCTTAGGCAGCGATACCCAGATAATTCTCGAGTAATGTCGAAGTCATGGACTAAGCAAGTTTCCATCACATCCACAATGGGTGGCTTTAATTTTTCCACTAATGCTCCTAGTTCATAGAATTTATTTTTTAGACTACGAGCATTGGCACATAAAACTCCTAGGGAGAACAGTTTATCCACACAAGCCTTAATAGCATCCGCTTCCAAGATCTTACTATTCAGAAACCCACTTGTCGGAGATTTTTCTCACTATTTTATCGACGGGTTTCTAGTTCAGCTAGTGCCGACTTTTCTATTCTATCTTCAAGAGACATATCAGGTCTTACTCGAATATCGTCATTGTCGTGACTATGAGCACTACTTAACAGATCACGTTGCTTCTCCGACCCTATAGTTACCTTAAGGAGTCTATATGGTCGAGGTTCAACACTGTCATCTGTCTCCTTACCTATTCTTATCAAGTTTTTGGCCTGAGCTCCTCTAGAGTTATCTGGTAAGATGCTACGGATAAATACTCCGGAGTTTCCAAATCATGCGCATATCTACTTTTGGGATTAAGATCTTGTGACTCAAGCAGCTTACTCGCAATAATATTCGAGGAGATTAACTTCTCAGCTATTCCAAGGTGAAGTTCTGTCGTACTATCAGACTTTGGTAGTGTATTTTGTGACTCAGAATGGGAGTTCACCAATGACTTTTTAAGTTTATTTATTTATTTGAACACATAAATATTGGTACAAGAGGGCACCAAATATATATGCGCCACACAAAACGATGAGGATTCGAAGAGAAAAAAGAACAATAACGAACAGCTTAGTGTAATAGTAATAAAAATAATAATAATGGGGGAAACGGGAAGGTACGATCAAAAGAAATCTTTCAGTTAAGGAAGAAATAACCATTTTTTATGAAGAAAGTTAAAGAAGGTTCCAACAGGATCTCCACTGACTTCTATTTTGAGCCATATCTGGTAACGTCTCTAGCCACTGTGTTGCACCATCTCTAGGACCCCAACCAGGGAGTCGTGAAGGACTAACAGTAGCCAGTCTTGTACATCTTTCTTTCATACCACGACACCATGTCATACACTGACCACCTCTCCACTTTTTCCAACCAGTCCCAGAGTCGGCAAATGATGCACGACGTGGAATTCTCTGGGACGACATTCGTAGAACATGTCCAAGCCACCAAAGTCGGTGTTTCAAGATGGTGACACCAATCGAATTATCGTCTTTGCGCTCGAACACACGATGCCGAAGCTCTGCATTACTGACATAGTGTTGACACTGGATGTCAGCAATCCTTCGGAGACAGCGATGATCGAACACAGAGAGTCGTCTAACGTCCTCAACTCGGAGAGACCAGGTTTCACAAGCATAGAGCAAAACTGCTCCCACCAACGCGTTGTAGATCCGACCTTTTACAGCTAGACTAACATCACGAAGACGCCAAAGATGGCCCAGATTGACATAAACCGCTCTGGCTTTCACTATACGTGCATTGATCCCATCAGTCAGGCCACCACCAGCACTTATGCAACTACCTAGATACACGAACTTCTCAACTACTTCTATCTGCTCATCATCCAGGGTGAGTACAGGATTGGAATCCTGCCAGTCTTGTAGAAGTACTTTGCACTTGGAAGGTGCAAAGCACATACCGTACTTACGGACACTGGTTGCCAACTGATTAATTGCGGATTGCATGACTTGGGCATTATCGCACAGTAAGACAATATCATCCGCATACTCAAGGTCGAGAAGTCTTTCTCCAGGCAACAGATCCACACCGCCATTACTTACATCCGTCAGAGCTGTTTCCAGAATGTCATCGATGGCAAAGTTGAGGAGGAATGGTGAGACTGGGCAACCCTGTCTAACCCCACTGCTCGAATGGAACAATGGAGAGAGGTGGTTGTATGCCCTCACTCTGCCTGAGGTGTTTGTATATGGGGCCTTTAGGATGTTAACAAACTTCTCAGGCACACCCTTCTTCACTAGACAATCCCAGAGAACAGTCCTGTCCAACGAATCGAAGGCAGCCCTAATGTCAAGAAACACTACGATTATTGGCCTTTGATAAGTATGAAGGTGTTCTAACATTTAGTGGAGGGTGAAGATGTGATCAATACATCCTCGACCGGAACGGAAATCAGCCTGCTCCTCGCGAGCCAATCTTTCTCGGGTTTTGACCAACCTACGAAGTATGAAGGAAGCCAATAGCTTGGATGCAATCGGAAGTAGACTTATCCCCCGATTGTTGTTACAGGAACGACGTGAACCCTTCCTAAAGATAGGGACAACTATCGACTCATTCCATGACGTTGGTACACTCTCTAGCTCCCAGACCTTTGTAAACAACGTCATCAGTTCCTTAGCCAGAAAGTCACTACCATCTTTAAAAAGGACCGGAGGTAAGTCATCTGGGCCCGGTGATTTGTAGCGCTTCAAGAGTTCCTTGAGAACTTCCGCCTCATTTGGTGGATCAGTCGTCACCGGCCATGGAGGGCAGGACAGTCCGACCGATGTTGCCGGAGCAGCAGACTACTTGAACTGCGCTTCGAAGAATTCTGCCCATCGTCCAACACGTCGATGGACGTTAGTGATCGACGCAGTAATTAGTCCAGTGTATAAGGTGGAGCGTAGAAACTTAGTTGATAACCACCGACCCGTTAGTCCAATGAGTGGATTTGTAAAACTAATGGAAAAGATTATTCAGATGGCTGTGATAAACTATGTGAAACGGAATAATCTTTTATCTAGGGAACAACATGGTTTTCGGGAAGGCCCGTTATGTTTGAAAAATCTGCTCATTGCAAGAGAAGATTGGGCTGCGGCAGAAGATCGAAATATTCATGGAGATGTTATTTTCTTAGATAGGATCTCCCATCCATGTCCTAAATTAAAGCTGGAAAGTTCTGGAATCCATTATAAGGCCATAGACTGGATAAGCGATTTTCTCAATGACAGGAGACAGAAGGTAAGGGTAAATGGGGCTCTCTTATTGTAGGAACCTGTAAAAAGTGGAGTTCCCAAGGGCACAATCCTCGGTCCCCTTCTCGCTTTAATTTATGTTAATGAATTACCAACTGTAGCAAAGCCATCCGTTCTACTCTTCGCCGATGACTAAGATCTGAAGAGCCATACACAGTATGTCAGATAGAAGAGTATTACAAGATGATCTCAACTCATTGCTGGCACAGATGGACGGATAGTCACTAGAAGTGAATCGCAACAAGAGTACGGTGATGCAATTAAATAACTGTGATTATTCGTATCAATACACAATACGTAGATTCGTATTACCCAAAGTAATAAACTATAGATTTAGGAGCCATAATAAGCAGCGATCCCAAAACTACTAGTAACTGTAAGGCTGATGGTGCAAATGGCTATAGGGTATTAGGGGTTATTCGTAGGTCTTTTCAGTATGTGAATGAAGAAATGTTTAGATTATACCCAAGTGTCGTGAGACCGTACTTGGAATATGGGAATCAAGCAGTGAGTCCTTGTTTCAAGTATGAGGTGGATATGCTGGAACGAGTCTCTATGGCCTATCTTATTAAGACAGACTGAGATACCTCAACTTATTTCCGTTATCTTAAAATAGAATACAAGGTGACCTAATATTAACTTATCGTATACTGAACGAGGATCTTGGTATTAATGTCTCATCTTTTCCTCCCGATCAGGACTGAACGTTTGAAAAGACATTCGAAGTTCACAAACAGAGATCAAATCGTCTACCTCTAAAGTTTCGTTTCTCGCACCAAGTAGTGAATTACTGAGATTCGCTACCAGAACACGTAATATCAGCATCTTCTGTTGATACGTTCAAAACGAAATTAGACCTCCACAGGGTTAGAAACTTTAAAGCTTAATATAGGTCGATAGACCTATCCTTATTACTGAAGACTGAAAACTAAATTCTACTTATCTGGACATTGTTTAATCAAATATGAGGCATACCCTATTCAATCAGATGAGTAGAATTAAACTAGCTAATCTGATCTTCAAAATATATGATTCGGGATTCAGTAGTGCTCTCATGAAGGGATAACAACATTGAACTGACAATTGTTTCTTCACTTATTCAGTGATACGGGAACGAAATTTTAATTCCATAATAGTTTAGATCACTTACTGTGAATGCAAAGACTATTTACAAGAAACTCATAACTATGTATTTTTTAAATTAATTTATGGAAAAACCTGACACTTACCGCACGCTCTGTCTAGCTTGAAATAATTTTGATAGTATACTATCAAAATTATTTCAACAGATATATCTGTTGGTTTGATAGATTAACCTATTAATTCTGTAAATATTTGATCTGTGGACGACAGTAAGAGCCACAGAACAAAACTTAAAAGTTTAATCATAAGGTGGGTTTCACTACTTTGCAACCCAATACATCTACCAAATTGGTATCATATCACATGTCCCCGCCATCCATAGTAGCGACTAATCTGGTCAGCGCGCTAATGGCGGAATATAAATGTCTCGTCATCGGTGTAAACCGTAATAGGTGCCATATTTCATTCTGTACTCTGGTCTATTTAGCTTACAGTTTCCTCGAGACTTTTGGTGTTTTAACTGATCAAAAGAAGCTCGTTTATACTACATATATACTGCTACAGTTATCTAATGTCTTCAGTCTTCAGTAATAAGGATAGTAGGTTGATGAACCTGTGTTAATCCTGACACATTGCTTTCCAGTGAAGGTCCAGCTTTTCCTTGAAAGTATTCACTGATGGGGCTGATACCACTTGTTCGGGTAAGGCGTTCCAATGATTGACTACTCGATGAGAAAAACGGGATCCCACTTTAAGTTTATTAGATCGTGGTTTATGAACCTTCTTGCTATGACCTCGGAGATTATTAGTGCTGGAGGGAACAAAAAGATAAGACATATTAACACCCAAATCATAATTAAAGATACGAAATGCCAGTATAAGGTCACCTCGTGTCCTACGATATGACAAGGGGAAAAGATTTAGGCGTTTTAAACGCTCATCGTAAGGGAGTCTAGAAAGACCCCTCACTAATTTCGTTCCTACACGCTGGACACGCTCAAGGGAGTTAGTATCCTTTACCAGACACGGGCTAGCTGCTTGGATACAGTACTCTAAATGTGGTCTAACATATATGGGATATAAAATTCGAAACGTTTCCTCGTCAAAAGATTTGAACGCTCGGCGAAGTGACCATAACGCACGAAAACCTTTGACAGCGGCTGCTTTGCAATGCGCAGTTGTTTTTAAATCATGACTTAATATTACTCCTAAGTCCTTATGCTCTTGAACGCATAGAAGAGGTTTACCCTCACTAGTGTAACGGAAACTATTACCGTGACTGACGTGCATTAGTACACTCTTCCTAGCATTGATTTCTAAGCCCCACTCTCGAGCCCATCTAACTAAATCGTCTAAGTCAGCTTGAAGATCCACATGATCAGCCGCACTTTTTATTGTTCTCCAGATTTTTACATCATCCGCAAACAATAATGTCGACGACCTAAGCAACAGTGGTAACTCATTAACGTAGAGAAGGAAGAGCAGAGGGCCTAAGATGGTGCCTTGAGGTACACCACTTTTGACCGGCTTCCAATCGGATAGCGTTCCATTGACCCTAACTCTCTGTCTGCGGTCACATAAGAAATTTCCTATCCACTCATGTACAGTACCTATTATTCCGAAGCTCGTGAGCTTCTGCATAAGACCTGAGTGTGCAACCTTGTCAAATGCTTTGCCAAAATCTATGAATATCACATCGACAGACAGACCGTTATCTAGGGCTGCTGTCCAATCCTCCCTCGCAATAAGCAAGTTAGTCAAGCATGAACGCTTGTTACGAAATCCGTGTTGCTCAGGAGCTGACAGATTGTGTAAATCTATGTGGCTTAGCAACCTAACCCGAATTATCTTTTCGAGTAACTTAACGACTATGCTAGTTAGAATGACAGGCCGGTAGTTAGATACTATCTGTCGCTGACCGTCCTTAAATATAGGACTAACAATAGCGTCCTTCCAATCTCTAGGGTGTTGAGCGAGTAAAAGGGACATGTTGGAGAGTGTCGCGAGCGGTTTTGAAATAATGTCCGCAAGAGATGACAGCAACCGTGGATGTAACCCGTCAGGGCCCGGTATCCTACCAAATTTGAGGTCAGTTATCAACGGAAGAACAGTTTCCTCAGTCACCTGTACAGATTCAATGGTTGGTATCTCGGTGTGAGTGGGACAAGTATTTGTTACAATAAACGTAGAGAAGACTTCGCTAAAATAATCTGAAAAAGTCTCAGCTTTTGCTCGATCTGATTCAGCTAGTAATTCTGAATTTTCGTGTAACAGCAACGGGGGAATACCATCACTACGTTTCGTCCGCCGTTTAACATACGAAAACAATCGTTTCGGACAAGTACGGCTGTCATATACTAACTGTCGTTCGTAAGTGGTACGGGATTTGGCTATGGTTTTCTTACAGATATTACGGTATTTTTGGTACTCACGCTTAAATGGTGCATGACATGTCAACAAGAATAAGTCCCAGAAATGTTTCCTACGCTTTGACAGCTTCCGGGTTTCCTTATTAATCCATGGAGGGCAATGTGATAGCTTACGTGCTAACCATGGGATAAACAACGACGTTACGGACTTGAATGTAGCCTTAAACTTATTCCATTCATCTTCGATCAATCCATCCGCGTCGACCGACCAATCGGTCGAGATAGCACAGTTTCTGTTTGCCGGAATATTAGCTCGCCAGATATTGGGACGGGGTGGAGCAGATACGAATTGTATACCATGTGTTCTAGACTTAAAGTGAATTACAACGTGATCACTGTTCACTAGTGGAGGAAGGTGCTGGATATCAAAGACATACTCAGAGTGGTGGGTGAGGGCGAGGTCCAGCAGTGACGGAACATGTTGCAAATCAATATGTGTCGGTTTTGTGATACATTGTACAAGTGCACACTGAATAACGGTAGATAAAAGGTCGCTATCGAAACCACTACCTGGAGCTGTAAACTCTATCCAGTTGATATGCGGTGCGTTGAAGTCCCCAATGATGAGACAACATTCTGCCATACTCCAAGAACAGATGTGTCTTAGGATAAAGTCGTCAGCAAGACAAGACGGACTACGGTATATTCCCCCTATAGTCACTAACCCAGTTCTAGATTTAATCTTACAACATGCAACCTCACATGTGCCACTGATATGAGCCTTCGATATGGTTGATTGTATACGAAAGTGATCCCTAACGTATAATATTATACCTCCCCCTTTGCGACTTGAAACTCTATCACTTCTGATACAGATATAACCAGCAATGAACGGAGAACAGTCTATATCAACGGTGAACCAAGTTTCTGTAACAACGATTATATCGGGACATAATTCTTGCACCATCAGACTTAGCTCGGACGTTTTATTTCTAAGACTACGAGCGTTCGTGTGGACTGGTGGTCTGAGAAGTCTCTGTGTTCGGTCATGTAAGTGTCACACTATTAGTTCATTGCCTTTGCAATTAACGTTTTTACTTAGAGGTTCCTCATTAGACCAAAACTCCTCCTCCACAAATCAGCCGGTCTTTGAGTAAAAAGAAGCCTAATATTCACTGGGAACAACTTAGCTTTTGATCACCTAAAGGTGACTATACTGTAAAACAACCAGCTTAGCCAGAATAATTGACAGAATTTATTACGGAGGTCGGTTAGTCAAAACTCTGGATTTTCATGGGTGATAACGTGAGCGTTGTGCAAAAAGTGTTACGTTAAAGTGATGAACAGTAACTGAATAACATCACTTGACAATTCGGACAAAATTCGAAGTATTTTCGACTGCCGAAATAGACGGTTTTCTCTTGTAATGCTCTGGCCAGATAATTCGTCAAACTGGACCGTTTTGTACATTAAATGACAGATCACCGGACGTGGGACTTCACCGAATATCTTTCCGGTTAATGATGACCAAACTGGAACTATAAACGGACTACACAGAACTCATGTGAACAGCAGTCAGTAGTTATTTTACGCATCACTTCTCCATCCTTCACTAATCCAAATAAATCAATTGTATAGCAAGAATTTGTTTGTTCACTGGAAGTACTGAAAATCAGAATAGCCGAGTCACCAGTGTAGGTTGACCTGAACCTGTTAGTTAAAAGATTGTGTTAGTTTGACATAGTTTAAGAGGTCGTTCCATTCCTGTTCAATCCTTGTAGGCTGTACGCTCACACACCTAAAGACCTTATATATCTAGCAGCAGGCCATGTCTCTCGTTAGGGACCCAGATATATACGTAAACAATAAGAAAGGGAAATTCAGAAAATCGGTTCGCGATACTATCGTATCACCTAATAGCTTCCCAAAGCATTCAGCTCAAAAGCCATTCCTAGTTGGTGACGGCCTTGTTGAGTTTAGCCGGTTTGACTGATTAGATGACTTCTTGAAACCCACCTGAGATCTCACTCTCTGCACCTTTCCCTAGAAATAAACGTGATCGGAACCTGTTATGAAACAGAATGAACTGTTCATTTGCTTACCAGCAAGTACCAATTCCAATGTGTTTTTTTTAAGAGTCAGTTTTACAATCGAACTGAACTTTCAGCAAGTATTTTATGAACGCTTTGAGCTACGTCTGACTGACATAAAAGAAGTTTGAATCATCTAAGTCAGGAATTCTTTACTTTAAGTGAAGTTTAATGTAGTAACTGCATTTAGTTCACCGACTATATTCGTTTATATCTTCATCTTGAGCCTCTGGGTTCACCCTTGCTCCTAATGTTTGCTTTTGTTTCCTGACCAAGCCTAACTCATATTCCTAACGGTGTGATTCATTTGTCCCTATAATTTGTCATAAAGAATGATATTTTGATAACTTTGTAACGAAATTATTTTAGGCTTGTTATGATACGATTTTTCAGGCAGTTATCAAACTCTCTGAGAAATGATTTCGATGAAATCAAGAAAATTCGGATATGAAGTAGTGGACACTTATCCTACCCTTGCTGAAATTATATCAGACCTAAGTTACCAGACCTGTAGAGACATCGTAAATATGCGAAGAAATCAAAATACTCGACTACTTCAACATAACGAACACTCTTACAGATTTAGATACAAATGCATGAATAAATTACCACTAGATGACTTAACATTCGCTTTCATCCCCGCCCAATAATTTTTCAGTTGATCACATTAATATTACGGTAAAAGTCCTTATATATGATTTTTAGAATGCTGTTTTGAAAATGAGATTTTAAAAACGCTACACAGTTTACTTAGTCGACATGAAGCAGACATCAAATTAGCGACCTAATATTTGGTGGCGCAGCAGTCATTTGAATAAAATAAATTGATTTCCTGAGCAAACTTACTTCTCTCATACTAATCACTTCTGATATAATTTTTCAGAATATTTGTAACGGAAAGAGAACAACGAAAATCCCTCCCAAGCCTTTTTGTTGGACAGTA